CGACAGTTTCATCTTACTGACACCAAATCAGAGTGCTATCACTATTTATAATATCGGCACATGGAACATCACAACACAAATTAAAGTACAATAACCAAGCAAAAATTGAAAAAACAAACAAAAACCAAAGTTTTTTTACTATACATCTCAAGATCTGATGATGATATACAGTTAATTGGCTTCGCCTGAGGTTGATATCACGAATTATCATCCCATGTAGCTAAGATACTGACCAAAGCTAAGGCTAGGGCCAATAATAGTCACTTTGGATGATAATTCTTTATATTGGCCAAAGCCAAGGACAATAGCTGTTTTATTATAATCTAAAAGGTAAACAAATAGGCAGACAGTAATTAAGATAAAACGGTGAGCCAAAACACAAAGTGTTCAAAGTGTTATGAACAAATGTGTAACCGGAATATTTAATATAAAAAATATGTGCATTAAATTCATGGCACATTCAACCACCTTTCTCTTATTATATCAGACACGTAAAAAAGGTAGAGCATGATAGAAATAGAATCGCGTCACTGAGCACAACTGTAAGCATGTAGGTACAAATCAACTGACTATTAGGCTGTTGTATCACCAAAAAGTATATAACAAGTAATAGTATCAAGAAATATTCCAACACAAATCATCAAGGCATGTCAGAGACACAACACAGAATGACTTAAATCATAGAACCATAATGTTTGATTTTTGTAGCAGGTTTGCTCAATCAATGTATACAAGGATCAGGTTCTGGCAAGGCCAAAATACTTGATTATGACAGACTTTTAAAACGAAAATGGCTGCCAGTAAGCCATCTTGAATCAGATTATGCATATGCATCCCAAAAAGCATGATGTATGTGTGAATTAGATCAGTCCAATTATGTCCAACATACAGGTGGAGCACTTAAGCTAGCAAGTATGTACATGTACACGCACAGAGGTTAAAACAAAATCCTGTTGTCTGGAGATTAATAATGCACTAAGGCAGTACCAAATGCAGTAACCAATGCATGATCACTTTCCTGTCTCATGCATACGTTGCGGTATTCCCATAATAATCTCATCTATTGTAGAATATAAAACTGCCATGAATATAATATAAAACTGCCAAGACAACCAATTAAATGAACATTCTGACTCACCCTTTTCTTGTCAATGATATTAAGAAAACCAGTTGTAACAACACATGCTATTGTGTTTGCCAGTAAGAATATCATAACATATTTCCATCGTGTGAGAAGTCTCTCCTTAGAGATACTGAAAAGAGACAATACAGTGGGTATGACAAGCAACTGCAGTAACCATAGGCAGTATGGCGACGTACAAAGCAGAGCAAAATATCAAATCCACTGTATTAATATTGTTCCATATATAAAAGGGCAATGTGAATTACTGAGTATCTTTGTGCATGTTTAAAACGTTTTGTTTGAGATGGATTTTAAAATTTCATTTATTCAAAAAAAATATACATATGTTTTCTTCACAATTTAAAGTATTTTTGCAACTACAAATCT